TGCCCGTAGTAATGTGATGGTAGCCGGGCCGAACCGAGAGCGGTGGGATTTGAATAGACCCGCCTGTTTATTTGTACAGTACAGTTTAATTGATTTTGAGTTGTTGATTTTAAGTAACGAAAATATGTACTTGCTCAGAATATGCATGCCATATCACTTTAAGTAGTCATTGCTAGAGTCCACGAACCTCGTCTCTTGATCGGCGTCGTGGATTGAAATAGCAGCCATCTCTGGCTCACAACGGAACAGGAACAGCCTCAGACGCAAAAGTTTGATGAGAGGCGACGCCGCAGTTACGCGATCATACTCTTGGATCATCAGCTGGAGGTCTTCGTCGTGGATTATTGGAATGAGACCGTCAAAGTCCTCACCGGGAAGAAGATACTTGAGGATGAAAGGTCGGCCGTGGAGGAGAGTACGAGAGAGCCGAAGAGAGAGTTCTGGGAGGGAAGTGCACCACTGCGATGCGGGTGTTAACGCCGACGCAGCAGAGGGACCTGTCATGTGGGCGGGGGACCATTTGTCCACCATAACTGCACATAAGGTGGAACTTGTCTTGAGGCCGACGGGGTATTTGGTGAGAACCATGAGACCTGGAAACGCTGGGACGACGAGGAGTCCGCACTGAGGGGTATGGTGAGTCCATTGACGGAAAAAAAAAAAAGACACTAGTAATTTATAGGCTGCTTTGTTTTACGCGCAGGTTCACTTTGTTAATTTATTGTTGAAATTTTGGTTCATTCTGCCCGTTATTTTCTTACTATTTTTTGTTTAAGATCCCACATCTACCTAAAATAATCTGCCCAAGTTAATGAACGACATTTCAGTTCATTCAAAACATTGCACTGATTTCATGGTCAAAAATACGGTTGCAGCTTAATTGGCGCGACAGAGAATCTAATCAACGATGATGATTTGTTTCTGATTTTATATTCATATCCATTATATCTCTTTTAATTTATGGATTTGAGCATCTCTCTTTTAAATTTCTTTTGGATCAAATGACTCATAAAATTTAGCAATGCAATGTTTTGCGCAGAACCTAGATGATTGTACCTTGGGGAAGGAAAAAAAAAAAGAATCATGATTTTGTTTTCAAGAAAATACAATTATATAAGTACCTTTCTTTAGAAGCTTTTAAGGCATAGGAATTCTTTGGAAACGAATAGCAATTATATAAGGATTGAAAGATTAATTTTATCCTTTTCATTCCAATTTTTAGCGGCCGAGGGGACATAGTCGCCAAAATTTATTCTCTGAATGCATAAAATGAGTACACAAAGCGTTTTCCGATACAATATGACCGGATAATAATTGAGGGTCAATGATGAAATATGATATTCTTAGCAGATATGTTGAATTTATCATGGATTAGGAAATTCTATTTTTTATATAATTTTTTTACTTGAGGATTGAGTTAGGATAAGATAAACGATTGGTTTGCTTCCTTGAAAATTAATAAAATAACAGTACTAACGATTTTATTTATATAGGTTGTGACTTGTGCGTGCGTGCATGTAGAGAGAGAGAGAGAGAGAGAGTATTACTTTCATGAATGCATCATGTTGAAGCTGGCAATACATAATAGAATAAAAGAGAACTGATGCGTGGCCATGAGGCCTGAGGCGTGACGTCCCATTGAAGTCCTAATCTGCCGCAGCCGCAGGGGACTCGAATGCGCATGGTGTTTTGGAGGAAGACTGTCTGTGACGGGCCGTTCCCCAATAATGGAAAGACCCAATGCCAGTGCTTGCATTGTTGGTTGGGCTTCTTCGGCGTCACGTCATCGTACCCGAAAACCAAAAAAAAAAAAAAAAAAAAAAAAAAGCACCTTGCTCCCCGACCCGTATTACATTTTCTCTTTTCGTCTTCCCCCTCAACTCTCAGACAACATCCTAGTACCGTCTTCCTTATTCACAACCATTTACAGTTTCCCTATTCGTTCCTTATCGTTTTTTTTTAAATTTTTTTACAGATAATTATACCAAATAAATATGATCTCGAGTTACAAGAAGCCATGATTTCTTAATTTATTTTCATTTGAGTAAAAACGTTCAAAATCCACTAATTAAACCCAAACGTAATATAGCCAGCATAAATTGATTTGCTTTCGTTTTGTGGCGATCCTCCCTTACTTGCGCCCAAGGCAAGTGAACGTCCAACACATGCGTGGACGACGTGGGCCTTGCTTTAACATTATGCATTGAACACTGCCTCCAACTCCAAATGCAAAACGCTCCGTGTTGTCATGTTCTCGCTATATTGTGAATTGGCACCCCCTGGCATCGATATATTAAACCCTTGATGAACCTTATTGACCGAAGAACTACATGACTTTATTTGCGTGCATAATGTATATGGTGAGTCATGATTGTGGCATCTATAATGGATACTAATGCTCGCCTTTGGCGAAAAGCGACGGATTAATATAGGACGCACAGTAGAAGGATAAGAGTGGTCCAGCATATATGCATGCATGTGAGGGCGAGACGACATATATGTGTCGTGTACGTCGGTTACCATACACACTCCTAAATTATTGAGCCTTGAAGGCGACACCTAAATTTTGTATATATTCATCACATGGACAACCGACGACGACATGAGAGTTTCTCCGGTGGCCCTCATTCTTGCTGACAATTTATGCGGCCAGTCTCCAGAAATGAGAATACATGCATGCATGCACGTAACCCGATCAATACTGTGCTCTTTTGGAGAATATTGAAGACGGTGGACATAATTAGGTGATCCTACTTACTTAAGATCGCTGAAATAAAAGGCATTCCATCCTCCCCAACTCCCAATTATACATAGGCACAGGGCTAGGTGGCGTCACGCATCCGTACACAACACTCACACATCACTGCTGCGTACAGAAAACGATGCGCATTGCCGTGGTGGACCTCCCGGGGGGGGGGGATTTTTTTTTCCCTGGCGCTCCATTTTCCATTTTATTCCTGTCATTTTCTGACAAAATATAATTGAATGCGCGCTAAAATTTATTTATGGTATAATTTTGGTATAAGAGGTTATAATTAGAAAACAAAACCTAGCAATGACTTGATTAATTAGAATGCCATAGAGTCCGTTTTGTCCGATGGGAATGGGAGAGGGGAAGGGGGGGAATTTTATTAGGTTCATTTTAAAAAAGTAAAAAAGTAGTGTTAAAAGTTTTTAATTAATTTTTATTATTCTTTTATCTTATATCTTATTTTTATTAAAATTCTAAGATCCCACTTCTTCGATCTTTGAAATTAAGTTCATTAAATTTTTTTCAACCCTCCATTTCCCTCATAGCAAGTACAGGGTAAAAGGGTAAATAAATCACGAAAATAAGGCTGCGAAAAACCAACTCAAAGCCGGTTGCTGTTTGATAATTAGGAAAATGACACTCAGGCCCATGAAACACAAAATATTGTAAAAAGATCCTAGAAAACTTGGTAAATATATACTTGCACTCAGAATATGCATGCCATATTAGGGGTGTGCATGGACTAGACTGAACCGGGTTTGTTATCAACCCGAAGTCTGGTCCAGTAAAGACCTCGGGCTGAAAAAAACAGCCCGAGGTCTGGTCCAGTCCAGTGCCAACCCGAGGTCGGGTTGGACTGGACTTGGTCCTCTGGACTGCTTGGACCAGTCCAGGCAGTCCAGACCTAATTTTAATTTTTTAAAAAAAAAATTTTCTTCAATAGGAGGCAAAATTGTAACTTACTATATAAAATTTTGCACATATTTTAATTCAAAATTTATCAAATTTGATCATTCCTTTTCAATTTCCCAATGAAGTTATGTTTTATTAATTAATCCTCTTCAATATAGATCTTAAATTGTAGAAAATATATATGCATGCTCATTACTTCGAAAGTTAATAGATAAATCTTAATTATTTGAATAGATAAAAAATTTATATAGAAAAATTAAATCAAATTAAAATTATATTAATAATAATTTAAAAAATCGGGCTAGACTGGACTGGACCAACTGGTCTAAGGGGTCAGTCCCTAGTCCAGTCCAGCCCGATGAGACCAGTCTGGTCCAGTCTTGTTTCGGGCCAATTTTTTCTGGACCGGGTCTGTTCGGGTTGGACCGGACCATACTGAACCACCGGGTTTTTGCACAGTCCTATGCCATATAACTTGAAGTTGAAAGAAAAGTGACATGAATTTGCTCTGATTTGATGAATAATTAAAATGGATAGGGTCCATTAAAAAAAAAAACGGGTGGGAGCGGTGAAATAATGAGGGGCGTGGGGTAGGTACGTTTATATATGTAATGAGTATATTTTAGCACTGACCAAAAGGACAGCTAATTGGTTAGGGAATAATATTTGTTTAAGTTGACGATCCAAAAGGGCTGTCAATGTCATAGTAGGCCCATGCATGCATCTCAACAAAGCGGAACGATGCCGGCCTTCAATATCAGTAATTTTCGTTTTCGATTGTTTATTTTGAGTTTTACAGCGTGTAGGAGTGATTTGTGATGAATGATAGAGAACAGCAGAATGAATCGCAGAATAGTAAAGTGACGCGTGTGCACCAATCTTCCAAAAGTACCACTGTTACAAAAGCACGTTCGTGATTGGGGTTGGCATGAGCCGCTGACGATAATGCCTCACGCTCTGAGCTGGCTGAGTCAACGGCCCTACGTGCTGGGGGATTTAACAGTACCTAGGATTGAAAGCACTAAATACAACGCAGCCCTCAATTATGTAATATCCACACCGAGCACGATTTTGCTTTTGATGATTTATATGAAATGAGTTCATGGACGATTAAGTGTCACTTGTTTAATCCTTAGCTGAACTAACATATATGCATATCATCTGTCTCTTAGTGTGCATGATGCATCAGGAAAGAAGTACTGATTCCCCTATATATATATATAGGACTTCACCATACGCTTCCGAAAGCGTGGCACGACATAATAAGAACGTACGACTCGGTATTGGCAATTCAGTATCCCCAAGAAGGAATCCGAACATGAAGGTGAGGTCTATTTATAACTACTCGCTGATAAGTTTCTTGAAATTAATTTCATTAAGAAGGCGACTTCATTATTGTTGAAACTGGGATGGGTGCAGCAAAAAGTAACAATAAAGGTGGCAATGGAGTGCGAGAGTTCCAGGAACAAGGCGTTGAAAATAGCTTCTATGATAAAAGGTGTGTGTGTGTGTGTGTGGTCATCAAGTGGATCAATATACATAACAGCATGAATAGACTTAGATATATACTTGGCAGCGGAACATAAATATATGCAGGTGTGACTTCGGTGGCGATAGAAGGGGACAGCAAAGATAAAGTGGTGGTGACCGGGGAAGATGTGGACACGGTTTGCTTGGGCAGGATGCTGAGGAAGAAGTTCCGGTGTGTGACGGTGCTGACGGTGGAAGAGGTGAAGCCCAAAAAGGAGGACGACAAGGACAAGCCCAAATGTTGTACATTGTGTGTGGTGCCGCTTCATCCCTGCGTGAGGTGCCACAGCCCCAAGTGCGACGGTGGGTGCAAGCCGTGCTGCAAGTGCCAGAGCCCCAGGTGCGACGGTGGGTGCAAGCCGTGCTGCAAGTGCCAGAGCCCCAGGTGCGACGGTGGGTGCAAGCCCTGCTGCAAGTGCCAGAGCCACAGGTGCGACGGTGGGTGCAAGCCCTGCTGCAAGTGCCAGAGCCACAGGTGAGACGGCGGGTGCAAGCCCTGCTGCAAATGCGACAGCCACAAGTGCGACGGTAAGTGCAAGCCGTGCTGCAAGTGCGAGAGCCACGAATGCGACGGTGAGTGCAAGCCGTGCCCGGGATGCCGCAGCTACCGATGCCTTGGTCAGTGCGTTTCGGTGATCTGCTACGGCCACTACCCTCCTTGGGTCTCATGTCCCACTTGCTGCGCTAAGCCTCCCTCTTCCAATTGTTACAACGTCGTTTATGATCCTCCCCCGTCTGATTCTTGCTCCATCCAGTGACTCCACCGTTAACCTTTTTTCATTCCAATTCTCACTCTTCCCACACATTCAGAAACCACTTCTGTTCCTTTCACTTTCCTGTACTTGCATGTATGCTTCTTTCTGGCTCTATTGTTGTCGATCGTTTTACTCATTTTAATTTCTGCTTCCTTCAATAAATTAAAGCATTATTCGTATAGTTTGCGTATTCGCCTGCTTCCGCATCCACCATCGCCTCTAGCGAAAATCAATAATCTTCCCTTCTTTCGTGAGGCGTGTGACATATATCCAGCAACAAAATCTCATGCTTCATAAACTTGTCAGAACCTGAGCTTGGAGAGGTTAATTTGAATCGCTTGTATGTATGGAGTATTAGATGGAACATATATAATCATCATGAAAATACATATTAGCGGAATTACTTAGTCCACTAGCTAGTGGATATGGATAATTAACTAGCCACAAAATATTTTAGTTCACGTGTGGTTGAAACCTTAATTTTAAACCTTTCTGATAAGTTCGAATCATTTTTTTAATTTGAATATCTGAGACATATTTGTTTTCGAATATTCGTATAGGTTCTGAAGTTGCAATATATTTAGTTCTTATCCATTGATACGCATTCTCTGGGCTGGGGGGAAGGAAAAAAAAGATACCCATTCTAAATAACGTTTAATTATCACCACATAGGATAAAAAAGGTATTTTTAGCATCGTGAACGGTATGATCGATAATTAAAGTGAAAATACGCTCAAAACAAAACTAATCTGCCTGGCATTGACATGTAAACTAAAAACAAACATCCATGTATATTAAGTTAGAAGTGTGATCACTCAGGAGAAATTAGATACGTTTTCTCATGTTTGCTTTACACATGAAAATATGCGTGCGTGTGTTCATGTTTATGACCATATTAAACAAAGGCTGAGGACCATTTAGAGTCAATTCAAGAAATAACAGGATAAGATTTTATGCGTGGGTGGGGGTTAGTGGTTGGAATGATCCGTCAAGGGGCGGCTCTCTTGGGACAACAATGTAAATGCACATCCGGAATGACACATTTCACCCAATCAAATGAAAGCCCATCCGTCGACTTTTATGGTCAATAGTCGAACTCCATTATTTTTTTAATTAAAAAAATTATGTTTTTTCAGCATTATTAGCCAACCGATGCTTTCAATTGTCTCGTTTTGACAACGAAAGACTGTCCACACCAACTACCGTAATCATTTCTCCCATGCCTGTCTCTTCGTGTCTGTTTTATTAATTTGCTCAAAATAAATGACTAACACAGTATGAATCGGTTACTGATTTTAAAATTATTGTATGCTGAGTTGTGTATTGTGAGATCTTAGCCTCATCCGTATATTATTACAACGCAACTCACCCGGCCCACTGTTTTTAATCACCAAATAGAACACTGGTCACTTTGTCACCAATAAGTTTGTGTACGGACGTGATGCTTAATTTCTTCTCTCAAATAACACAAATGGAAGACAAGCGAGACGTTCACTTCAACGGATGATAAAATTAGAATGAAGCGACAGATGTATATAACATTGAAACACGGGTGGGGCTCGCTTATAACCATATTCATTAATTTGCAGTCTCTCTTCCCCTTCTTGTTGTCTTCCTTTTCTTCTTTTCTGTCCTCCACCTTTGCTGCTGCAAAACGTAGAAAAGAAAAAAAAAATTCGACAACGAAAGATTGTCCACACCAACTACTGTCATCATTTCTCCCATGCTTGTCTCTTTGTGTCTGTTTTATTTGCTCAAAATAAATTACTAACACAGTATGAATCTCTTGCTGACTTTAAAATTATTGTATGCTGCGTTGTGTATTGAGATCTTAGTCTCATCAGGGTATTATTACAACGCAACTTACCCGGCCCACTGTTTTTAATCACCAAATACCGGTCACTTTGTCATTAATGAGTTTGTGTACGGACGTGATGCTTAATTTCTTCTCTCAAATAACAAAAATAAGAGACAAGCGAGACGTTCGCGTCGACGGATAATAAAATTAGAATGAAGCTATAGATGTATATAACATTGAAACAAGGGTGGGGCTAGCTTATAACCATATTCATTAATTTGCAGTCTCTCTTCACCTTCTTGTTGTCTTCCCTTTGATCTTTTCTGTCCTCTACCTTTGCTGCTGCAAAACGTATTAATCACGACTGCTAAGTCCTCTCCAAGACGCGCAGTGAAATCGTTGAACTTTCTTTTAAAAAAAAAACAAAAAGAAAAAAAATTCGAGGTTCATAGCGACCAGTCTCAACTTGCTTTAAAAAACAAGAATCAATAATTAATTGGGGAGCGTTATAAATATTATAAAATATAGATGTCCATCTCCTCTTTCTCTTCAATTTTATCAACTTCCATTACTTCTACTAGGCATTAATCTTCTATTACTCCATTACTTCTCCCCTATGCCTTTAATCTTGTAACTCACTCCCCACTCACATTCATGTGGTTTATTGTCCACTATCTATCATGTAAGTACAAATATAACTTATATGTAAGACTGTGCCTATAAATAGGGCATGTCTTTGTATTGTAATGTAAGTGAAGCAAGTGAAGGAATACAATATCATTCTCTCATTTTCTTATTTACATCTCTTTTCTAATCTACTTTTTTTATTGGTTAATTTCATAACACGTTGTCAGCACGAGGCTCTATCATCTGAGTTCATGGCTTCTAGTTGATACATGTTAATATTTTGTTCGTTGAATGAAGATAGTTTGATCTGAATAGTTTGGTAAGATTTCTCCAATTTATTTCATCGTATTGAGATATAAAAAATTTTATTTTTATTTCTTACTTTTCTTATATTTTATATTTTTATGATTCTATTATCCTTATACTTCTTGATTTACTATGAGGTTTATTTTCATCTATAACATCACTATATATGATTATTATCTCTGATATTAGTTAATTATTGTCTTATAAAGTAAAATGTTAAACACATAAATAAATGGCCAATAGCCATTATACTTTTGATTTTGTGATTAGATGGTCAGAAACTACATCACTTTTTAATGATTTTTGATAAAAGACTATATTGTGGTTGTAACAGATGGTATGGCAAATTTGTCACAATTTGATAATCTACATCAAAATCCTGAAGATTGATGGTTTAAAAATTAAACGACACAAAAGAACTTCGCAGTTCTGAAAATTTTGTTATGGTCCGAAAGACTAATATTTAAAAAAATTGATGGTGTGCTATTGAAGTAAGGAACATATCCATAAGAGTGATAAAGAGTATGATCACATTGTATCAGTAGAACTGATAAGGGCAATAATCTTTGGGCTTGACTATTGAATCATAACAAAAAAATCAGTAATAGCTCTGTGATTAATATGATAAAATTATGAACAAATGTTATAATATGATTAGAAGTCATGTAGACAAATATGTATCAATTCGTTGACAGTAATGTTAAAAAAAATGGTTGTGAAGTCAAAAAGACCATGTGATATTATGAAAATATCAAAAGTAATTTTAATGTTTAAAGGCAGCAAGTTATGAAGAAAGATATCTAAAGTATTTATAAAAATAGAAGAGATACAATCATATACCTAGAAGGCTATATATATAATGTTTAATTTTATCAGTTTGTCAATTTATTGTGATTTGGGAGAAACAAATTATCATAAGAATTTGATATTGTGATATTAATAAGTGTGTAACATAAAATTAAATAGATCAAATAGACTCAAAAGTTATTAGTTATATTTTATTTATATCTTATTAATACGGTCTGATTCAATATTAGTTTTAAATATTTTGAATGTCTATAGTACCTTGATCAATATTGAAAAGTTTTGAACGTTAATTTTGATCTGTACTTTATTTTCAAAAGTTCATTTTAAATGTTTCTTCTATATTTTTTTTTGTTGTCTCTATGTGTATTGTAAGTTAAATCCATGATACTTATAGTTATTTGTTATTATGTTAATGATATATTGAAATAAAGTTATTTTTCATATTCCTCTTAAATTATGTAGTTCTTGAAGACCTACAGGTAATAATATTATTATAGTTCCAGAAGAACTGATGCTGCTTTTTTTATGAGCAGACAAAGTATTGATAGTGAAAAATATAATCCATGGATCTACATCAAAATCTTGGTTCTTCAAATAGTATAAATGCTATAGTAAAATTGGATTAAAATCCATAATTACATATGAATTAGGAAGTACTTGGTCTATGAGACAAAAAGTAGATTATTGGCCTTAGCCTCTCATATGCTATTAACTGTTTATAAAATATATAAAGGAATCATGTTTGAATAACTCATAATTGAGGGAAGACTGTTGGAATAAAGTATGAGTTGACATTGGATATATTTTTCATATCAATTTCATAAATGGATATCATCAATCATATATTATATTGAAAAGTTTATTGGTAACAAAACATGGTAGAGTAAACCAGAAGTTTACTAATATAATTAGATTTATTATTGGCATGACTTGTTTGATCATCTTGAACTATATAATGCAACAAATTATTAAAGATTACGTATTGATATCCATTGAAGAACCAGAAGATTCTTCCGAATAGCCAATATTTTTAAGAATTCGTATGTGCTGCTTGTTCTCAAAGAAAACTAATTATAGAATATCACTATTATGTTTTGTTTTGAAATAGATCACTATATTTCTGAAAATATATTAAACTCATATATATGGGTCCATTTAGAAGCACATAAGCCGTATAAGTATTCAACATTTGATAGATGCATCTATATAAAATAGTAACATGTGTGATTGATATTAGTTTGCAATCTGAAGTTTGCAAGATTGTTTAGATAAATATTTTTGGACTATGTGATCCTAAACACTTGATTTTAGAAGCAAATTTATATATCAGGCTTTTAATGTTGAAAAGCGTGTTTAACAAACTGATCTAGTAAAATTATTTGTTTATGTCTTCGTGAATAGCTTGATCAACATTTATAAGAATAAATTTTTCTATTTTAGTGTTGGCATATTTGATTTAATGTATTGCAATACTTATAGACATCAAGGCAACAAAATTCTCCCAATAAAATTGGCTTTTGGTCAGGAGCTAGATATTTTCCATCTAAAAATTGAAATGTGCAATATTTATTCCTACCAATCCACCACAATGCACATAGATGGATATTTAAAGAAAGTTGGGACATATGCTGAACAAGAACTTCCTTCTTTTGTTTGTCTCTAAATGGAACAAAACAATATTCTTAGAAGAAACAAATAGATTTTGGAGACTTATATTATATAATTAGTTGACTGTTATTTGACAAACTCTTCCGAATATGAGGGTGAGAAGTTGAGTAGCGGGAAAAGAGAACGCATGGAATGTATTATTACTATCAAATATAAATCCTCATGTATATCAGTATGGATCAGAAGTTCATCAAACATTGCATTCATGAAATGCTACAAAATATTTTACTAACCTGAATGAAAATTTTTAAATCTCTTATTCCAACTGAAATACTCTAATTAGTATAAATAAAAATGAGACATGCTGGAAGAATGAGAGGTTAATTGGTTCTAATATAATTATATTGAGTAAAGAGGAGCATACAACTTAGAAGTTGTATTGAGGGGGATTGTACTCTAAAAGAGTGTTAAGATATAACTAATTGTAAAATTCCAGAAGAGATTCAGGTACCCGAAGAAGAAGAAAAAGATCTCAATAAGTTATATCACCAGAGAAAAAATGAAACTAAAAAGATAAATGTTATCAATAAGGATTTTGATCGAAAGATCACATGATAAAAAGAGGATCTTACACATAAATCTATCATATAAAGTAGACATAAATTTGGCTAAGAAGAAAAGTAAAAGGGAAAAGATGTGATGAAAATATATGTCGATGTGTGAAAATGGGCCTGCAGTCCAACACATAGAATATAATGTTTCTATAGAATATATGAACGTTTATGTGAAAATATAGATTTTCATAAATGATTATAATGAGACATATTATTTTGTTTTTAAGAAAATACAATTATGTGAGGACCTTTTTTTCGAAGCTTTTAAGGCATAGGAATTCTTTGGAAACGGATAGAAATTATATAAGGATTGAAAGAATAATTTTATCCTTTTGTTTTCAATTTTTAGCGGTCGAGAGGACATAGTCGCCAAAATTTATTCTCTGAATGCATAAAATGAGCACAGAAAGCGTTTTCAGATACAATATGACCAGATAATAATTGAGGGTCAATGATGAAATGTGATATTGTTAGCAGATATCTTGAATTTATCATAGATTAAGAAATTCTAGAGTCTAGACTGAATTGTATGATTATCTTTTTTTTTAAATTTCATTTATGATTTATATTATCTTTTAAATAAATAATTCTAAGTAGAATTATATTTATTAGATTATCTTCTATTTATTAGAGTTTCCTATTTTTGTAATTTTTTTTCACTTGAGGATTAAGGGGGTGTTTGAATTATTCAAGAAGTGCTTTTAAAAAAACATTTTTTCACAAATCGAGACAAATTTTTTTATACTCCTCCGGTCCTTAATATAAGACCCAATTCTTGAGTTAGTTTTGGTCCTAAATATAAGAACAATTTCTCATATTTATCAATTTTCTCTAAATTATCTCTATGATACTCCCTCAACCATAATTAAGTAGAAGAAAGAGAGAGGGTATTAAGAAAGATGATTATGGTGTTTTAGGAAAAATGTGTCATTTTTCTTATAATTAACTAACTTACCTAACTTCCTTAATCTAATCAAATTAGTTTAATGGGTCTTATATTAAGGACCAGAGGAGTATATTTATTTCATATAAGGCAAAAACACTTTTAAATTCATAGTTTTATTTTTATCGAAACCCTCCAAAATTAGGATACGAGGCGTTTAGAGTAAAGTAGGATAAATGATTGGTTTGCTTTCTTGAAAATTAATAAAATAACAGTACTTACGATTTTATTTACACATGTCGCGTGCGCGCGCACGTGCAGAGAGAGAGTATTACTCTTGTGAATGCCTCAGGTTGAAGCTGGCAATACGTAATAGAATAAAAGAGAACTTTTTTTTTTGACAAAAAAGTTACAAACTACAAAAGTCTTATAATACAAGCAAAATCTTATAATTAAAATCGGGGGTTGCAGAATAAAAGAGAACTTTTTTTTTTTTTTGGTGAACAGAAGTTTTTTTATTTACACAACAGAGAACTGTTGTGCGGCTAGCCGGCCATGAGACGTGAGACGTGACGCCCCATTGAAGTCCTAGTCTGCCGCAGGAGACTCGAATGCGCATGGTGTTTTGGAGGAAGAGTGTCTGTGATGGGCCTTCCCCAATAATGGAAAGGCCCAACGCCAGTGCTTGCATTGTTGGTTGGGCTTCTTCGGCTTCATGTCATCGTACCCGAAAACAGGAAGCACCTTCCTCCCCGACCCGCATTACATTTTCTCTTTTCGTCTTCCCCTTAACTCTCAGATCAACATCCTAGTACCGTCTTCCTTATCCACAACCATTTACAGTATCCCTATTTTATGTGTCGTGTAGGTTACCGTACACACTCCTCTCCTCACCAGTCTAATTAATAAGCCTTTAAGGCGACACCTAAATTTTGTATATATTCATCACATGGACAACCGACATGAGAGTTTCTCCGGTGGCCCTCATTCTTGATGACAATTTATGCCGCCAGTCTCCAGAAATAAGAACACATGCATGCATGTAACTCAATACTGTGCTCTTTTGGAGAATATTGAATGCGGTGGACATAATTAGGTGATCCTGCTTAATTAAGATCACTGAAATAAAAGGCAATCCAACCTCCCCAACACTTTTATCTTATATCTTTTTTTATTAAAATTCTAAGATCCCACTTCTTCGATCTTTGAAATTAAGTTCATTAAAATTTTCAACCCTCCATTTCCCTCATAGCAAGAACAAGGTAAAAGGGTAAATAAATCACGAAAATAAGGCTGCGAAAAACCAACTCAAAGCCGGTTGCTGTTTGATAATTAGGAAAATGACACTCAGGCCCATGAAACACAACATACTGTAAAAAGATCCTAGAAAACTCGGTAAATATATACGCACTCAGAATATGCATGCCATATAACTTGAAGTTGAAAGAAACGTGACATGAATTTGCTCTGATTTGATGAATAATTAAAATGGATAGGGTCCATTAAAAAAAAAAAAAACGGATGGGAGCGGTGAAATAATTAGGGGCGTAGGGTAGGTACGTTTATATATGTAATGAGTATATTTTAGCACTGACCAAAATGACAGCTAATTGGATAGGGAATAATATTTGTTGAAGTTGACGGTCGAAAAGGGCTGTCAATGTCATAGTAGGCCCATGCATGCATCTCAACAAAGCGGAACGATGCCGGCCTTCAATATCAGTAATTTTCGTTTTCGATTGTTTATTTTAAGTTTTACAGCGTGTAGGAGTAATTTGTGATGAATGATAGAGAACAGCAGAATGAATCGCAGAATAGTAAAGTGACGCGTGTGCACCAATCTTCCAAAAGTACCACTGTTACAAGAGCACGTTGGTGATTGGGGTTGGCATGAACCGCTGACGATAATGCCTCACACTCTGAGCTGGCTGAGTCAACGGCTGTACGTGCTGGGGGATTTAACAGTACCTAGGATTGAAAGCACTAAATACGACGCACCCCTCAATTATGTAATATCCATACCGTGCACGATTTTACTTTTGATGATTTATATGAAATGAGTTCACGGACCAAATTATTTTTTAGAGCGTATAACCTAGAACCGACAGTATGATTAAGTGTCACTTGTTTAATCCCTAGCTGAACTAATATATATGTATATCATCTGTCTCTTTGTGTGCATGATGCATCAGGGAAGAAGTACTGATTCCCCTATATATATATATATAGAGGACTTCAGACGCTTCCGAAAGCGTGGCACGACACAATAAGAACGTACGACTCGGTATTGGCAATTCAGTATCCCCAAGAAGGAGTCCGAACATGAAGGTGAGGTCTATTTAATTATAACTGCTTGCTGCTCAGTTTCTTGAAATTAATTTCATTAAGAAGGCGACTTCATTATTGTTGAAACTGGGATGGGTGCAGCAAAAAATAACAGTGAAGGTGGCAATGGAGTGCGAGAGTTGCAGGAACAAGGCCTTGAAAATAGCTTCGATGATAAAAGGTGTGTGTGTGTGTGTGTGTGGTCACGTGGATCAATATACGTACTAGCATGAATAGACTTAGATATATACTTGGAAGCGGAACATAAATATATGCAGGTGTGACTTCGGTGGCGATAGAAGGGGACAGCAAAGATAAAGTGGTGGTGACCGGGGAAGATGTGGACGCGGTTTGCTTGGGCAGGATGCTGAGGAAGAAGTTCCGGTGTGTGACGGTGCTGACGGTGGAAGAGGTGAAGCCCAAAAAGGAGGACGACAAGGACAAGGACAAAGGCAAGCCCAAATGTTGTACAGTGTGTGTGGTGCCGCTTCCTCCCTGCGTGAGGTGCCGCAGCCCCAAGTGCGACGGTGGGTGCAAGCCGTGCTGCAAGTGCCAGAGCCCCAGGTGCGACGGTGGGTGCAAGCCCTGCTGCAAGTGCAACAGCCACAGGTGCGACGGTAAGTGCAAGCCGTGCTGCAAGTGCGAGAGCCACAAATGCGGGGGTGAGTGCAAGCCGTGCCCGGGATGCCGCAGCTACCGGTGCGGTGGTCAGTGCGTTTCGGTGATCTGCTACGGTCACTGCCCTCCTTGGGTCTCATGTCCCTCTTGCTGCGCTAAGCCTTTCTCTTCCCATTGTTACAATGTCGTTTATGATCCTCCACCGTCTGATTCTTGCTCCATCCAGTGACTCCACCGTTAATCTTTTTTCATTCCAATTCTCACTCTTCCCACACATTCAGAAACCACTTCTGTTCCTTTCACTTTCCTGTACTTGCATGTATGCTTCTTTCTGGCTCTACTGTTGTCGATCGTTTTACTCATTTTAATTTCTGCTTCCTTCAATAAATTAAAGCATTATTCGTATAGTTTGCGTATTCGCCTGCTTCCGCATCCACCATCGCCTCTAGCGAAAATCAATAATCTTCCCTTCTTTCGTGAGGCGTGTGACATACATATCCAGCAACAAAATCTCATGCTTCATAAACTTGTCAGAACCTGAGCTTGGAGAGGTTAATTTGAATCGCTTGTATGTATGGAGTATTAGATGGAACATTATATAATCATCATGAAAATACATATTAGCGGAATTACTTAGTCCACTAGCTAGTGGATATGGATAATTAACTAGCCACAAAATATTTTAGTTAACGTGTGGTTGAAACCTTAGTTTTAAACCTTTCTGATAACTTCGAATCGTTTTTTTACTTTAATTTGAATATCCGAGGCACATCTGTCTTCGAATATTCGTTTTTGAAGTTGCAATATATTTAGTTCTATCCATCGATACTCTCTCTTGGCTGGGGGAAAAAAAGATACCGATTCTCAATAACGTTTAATTATCACCACAGAGGATAAAAAGGGTATTTTTAGCATCGTGAACGGTATGATCGATAATTAAAGTGAAAATACGCGCAAAACAAAACTAATTAATGTGCCCGGCATTGACATGTAAACTAAAAACAAACATCCATGCATATAAAGTTAGGATCATGATCACTCAGAAGAAATTAGATGCGTTTTCTCATGTATGTTTTACACATGAAAATATGTGTGTTCATGTTTATGGCCATATTATATTTTTTTAAATATAAATATATATATATATATATATATATATATTGTGTGTTGAATAGAAAAAGACAGACTCGTATGTAAAGTCTTGCTCGCACTTTGACGTGTTTACATCAAGTCATTTCTGTGGATCATAGATGTGTCGTTTGCATGACAGTGTGTGCACCATTGAAATACATTGAAACAATTAGCCTTTTCCTATAGCTGTGATAATTAATTTAGGTACAAATCGATGCATTTACTTCGTTTAATGGGAGGCAACATGTGACACGTTTGAAAAAGTAAAATAGCAGATATATGTATCTGCATATATATATATATATATATATTCCTCCAATTCTTAATATATAACCTAATTATTGAGTTGATTTTGGTTCTAATTATAGATCTATTTCTCATATTTATTAATTTTTTCTAAATTACTTTTATGGATGCTCTTTCAACGATAATCAAGTAGAAGAGAAATGGAAGATATTAAGAAAAATAATTATGGTGTTTTAGAAAAAATATGTCATATTTCTTATAATTAACTAACTTACCTAACTTTCTTAATCTAATTAAATTAGTTGAATAGGTCTTATATTAAGGACCGGAGGAGTATATATATATATATATATGATTAGGTTTAGGTACGTGGAGAATGATCATTGCTCGTCTAATAGGGATGGTTCCAAACTTCTTAAATTGAGTTACAAATGAAAAGTAAATCCTTTGACTTTTGTTTTTTCGGTCGGCGGGGGGATCTTAGTTAGTTAAAGGCCTATAACCTTGAAAATAAATAAAGGCTGAGGCCCCTTTTGAGTCAAGTCAAGAAATAACAGGATAAGATTTTATACGTGGGTGGGTGTTAGTGGTTGGAATGATCCGTCAAGGGGCGGGTCTGTTGGGACAACAATGTAAATGCGCCTCCGGGATGACATATTTCATCCAATCAAATGAAAGCCCATCCGTCGAGTTTTATGGTCAAAAGTCAAGCTCCATCATTTTTTTTAAATTAAAAAAATTATGTTTTTTCAGCATTATTAGCCAACCAATGCTTTCATTGTCTCGTTTTGACAACGAAAGATTGTCCACACCCCAACTACCTGTCATCATTTCTCCCGTGCCTGTCCCTTTGTGTCTGTTTTATTTCCTCAAAATAAATGGCTAACACAGTATGAGTCTGTTACTGATTTTTAAATTATTGTATGCTGAGTTGTGTATTGTGAGATCTTAGTCTCATCAGTGTATTATTACAACGCAACTTGCCCGGCCGGCCCACTCTTTTTAATCACCAAATACAATACCGGTCACTTTGTCACCACTACGTTTGTGTACGGACATGGTGCTAAATTTCTTCTCTCAAATAGCAAAAATAAGAGACAAGCGATCGAGACGTTCACTTCAAGGGATGATAACCATATTCGTTAATTTGCAGTCTCTCTTCCCCTTCTTGTTGTCTTCCCTTTAATCTTTTCTGTCCTCTACCTTTGCTGCTGCAAAACAAGAATGAATAATTCAGTGGGGACCGGAGCAATATAATAAACAAAGTCCGGTGGAGGTGGCGGATGTATAGTGACGACAAGGACTGAGGATGGACTCAGATTTAATTTATAGATAAAGAGGAGAGGGATAAGCTTAACAAGTTTTGGTTTGCTAATCTGTCCCTATTTGTAGTGCTACATGCATGTGCAGGCTTTAATTATTCCCAAAAACACGTGAATTAATTAGTTTGCTTTCATACCATTAAGCTCTTAATAAGCCTCTAAGCAGCCTGTCATTAGTCATTACCCCCTTTCTTTATGACCCGCGCACATCTCACGTGCACGTCCAAATCAAATCGGGTAGAGTCTCTTCTTCTATTAGTAATTTAATGCTGTTGAATTCAAGGCCCTTTGTAAATCAAAAGTTTTAATTCTAACACATTTGATCACCCCGGTAACAAAGAATTGTCCGCCACGACAGTCATGCACTTTCCTATAAGTTGTCTTTGTTATTCTGTGAAAAATATTTTTGTTGTGATTATTTTGCCAAAGATTTCTTTTTTTTTTTTTTTTGATAAGCTGCCAACGATTTCTTTAAACAAATACATTTAGATGATTGTATTTCCGATTATATGATAAGCTAGATTGCGTTCTTAAAACATGACAAGTTTTATACCTTTTATAATTATTAATTTTTTAATTTTATACATATTAATTTTATAATTACGAAAGAGTGTTCACACCGACAACTATCATGATACTAGAGTTGTGTTCTTTTATTAGAATATTTTATCATGTTTATCTCGCCATATTTTTTTCATTAATTTATACATAAAATTTAATGATTTCAATCTTTTCTAGGAAAATACTTAAGACGCAGTATGAGATACAGCATGGTTTATAATTATTTCTACGGGATAAGGTGTTTAGATATTCCGGCAATATTTATAAAAGAGCATTCAGCACCTAAATTTTTTTTGGCTCTTGTATGTTTTGGAACTTTATTTTTGTAGTAAAAATACTCTAACTGTTATCTGTCATTAAATTTGACTGTTAAATTATGCAGTTTAATTAGTATCTTTAATGATGTAACTTAATAACAGATAATAGATTGAGACAAAAGTGCTACGGAATAAAATTTTTAAGGTATATAACAGCAAAGAAAAAAATTCAAGTATTGGTTACTCCTTTATGAATACTTCTGGTATATTTAAACATTTTATCTCATTTTTTTTACACTCCACAATATGATAATTGGACTTCCAAAAAATTCTTTCGGCTGTAAAATAATCAGATACTACCTTTGACCTTACTTATAAGAGCTAGTTGAGGGGGCAAATGAGTATTAGTTTGTTTTTGGAACGTGGCAGTACCGTCGTATTCAAAGCCATGACTGGCAAAAGCGAAAGCAGTATTAGACTGTACGCAGCGGGCAACGGAACTGGGCAGGTTGAAGAATTGCAGGACTTGATGCTGTGTAAAGACTTGAAGTGGGATTGATGTAAACCGTTGAAGGAGGCCCGCTTTGGGCTGTTACTGTCCGTGGCTGCCCTGAGGATACCCCATCTGGATGAGTAGGTGCCACAGTTATTGCATAGACTGGGTAGTAGGATGGGATTGCTACGTAATGGACAAATTGCTCAATTTGATGATTTTGATCCACTTGTGAGCCTAACCTGTATGCGCATTCTTCCACTTGATCCCTTTGGATTGCAGGGCTAGTATCAGATATTTCACTCCTCATATTTGCATGGCCCGCTTTTACTTGCTCTTGCAAGTGAACAGCTTTGACAAATAACTGCTGCAGGTTGATGCAAACAAATACACCCCTTCATGTTATTATCCCCCAGTTTCCGTAATACGACAGAGAAAAGTAAGAATATCCTAAATACTGTGATAGAAAGCGCAAGGAGGATTTAAAAAAAGAGAAGTAGCCCCACTATCAATATAAAAGAGACCCAAATTGATATATACCTCGCAATTGGATAAGGAGAAAGCAAACTTAAAGCGTCACTGTTTCTTGCATGCACAAGCTGCAACGGAGACGGGACCATCACTGGTGGTGCCAAAGCAGCCGAGGAAGCAGCACACCCATCTTCTTGCCTCGTCATGACAGTCGCAGCAAAGTTCAATTGGGCAAACAGCTCCTCCATCTCGGGCTTTTCTTGCTTCGGTCGGCCGCCACTATCATCGACTCCAAGTGGAGGAAGACTAAACATGGAAGGCGACGAGGAAAGAGACCCAGAAGGCGATGTGTCCGCCACAAGTAAGTCAGACACTGTATTAACGTCATCCAAACTCTTCATCTGTCTATTGTTGTAATTCACAGCCAAAGCCTCCAAATCAGTGCCGGAG